CATAGTCTTGATTGACTAAGCCATTGGCCATTGGCTGATTCAACCTCCAGCCCCTCCCCTTCCCCCAAAGTGGGTGGGACTTAAAGTTCCAACCGTTTAATCACTTGGTTCAGCTTCCTGGCAACCAGCCCCTGCCCTTGTGTGGGGTCCAAAAGTCATCTTCATGAATAACAAGACACCTGCTTCACCTTTATGGCTTTGAAGCATTTACAGGAACTGTGGACAAAGACTAAATGTATCTGAGAAGTATATTTTGGTTGTCTGAATGACAAAATATATATTTCTTAGAAATCATTATATTGTACCCCAGTACAGTGTCAAATATAGAAGTGTCAAGAGAGGGCCATAAATTGTGTGAGTGCCTTTTTTTTTTTTTTTTTTTGCTTTCTATTTCATTAATTTCTGTTCTTTATAATTTCATGTTTCCTTAATTTGTTGGGAATGTCTTGCCATTTATTTATTTATTTATTTTTGAGAGAGAGTGTAAGTGGGGGAGGGGTAGAGAGAGGGAGACAGAGGATCATCCAAAGAGGGCTCTACACTGACAGCAGCAAGCCCGATATGGGGCTCGAACTCGAACCGCGAGATCATGAGCTGAGCCGAAGCTCAACGGACTGAGCCATCCAAGTGCCCCTCTTGTTTGCTTTTTAATATCTGGAAATGGACACTTAACTCATTAGCTTTTGGCCTTTCCTCATTGCTAAAAGATAGTTTTTCCTTCTAAGCACTGCTTTGGCTGCCTCCCACACATTTTGATGTATTTTCATTATTGTTCACCTACAAATGCTTTGTGATTGTGACTCCACGATCGCTCTTCTTTGAGTTATTTCAGAATGTGTATCTTAATTTCCAAACATATACAGATTTTCCAGTTGTCTTTTGTAGTTATCGATTTATAACTTCTTTGAATTATGATCAGATTCCAACTTTCTGAGATGTGACTTGCTTTCTGGCTTAACGTGGTCAAATTTTATAAACGTTGTGTATAAGTATTTTGTAATTGTTGGTTGCAGTGTTCAATGGCTGTAAGCTCAAGTTACTGATTATGTTGTTCAAAAATTCTGTATCCTTAGAGATCTTTTTTATGTCTCTTTGATGAAGTACTGGCTGGGGGAGACCTCCCACTCGGATTATATATTTGTCTGTCTCTCCTTTTAGTAAGTTAACTTTTCCTTTATATATTTTGAAGTTTTGCTGTAAATGCGTAATCATTCCTAGTAAATGGAAGTTTTATCATTATGAAATGACCTTCTATGTCTCTAATAATGCTGTTTGCTGTTTACGTGTATTTTGTTTGAATATCGCTGTACAAGTTTTCTATCGCTTACATAACTACTTGTGTGATTTAGCTCTCTCCGTATTTTTGTTGTGAATCTATGTGTATCCTTATATTTTGAATCTGTCTCTCTTAAACAGCATACGGAGGTATTTATTCATCCTACTTGCTAATACTTGAGCATTTAGCTCATAAACATTTAATACAATTATTGACTGATATACTGGAGTTTCAAGCTACCATTTTATTTTGTGCTTGTATTGGTTGCACCTAAGTTTCTTTTGCCTCCTCCTTCTTGATTTAAAAAGAATTGACTTAAAAGGAATTTTTTAAATTTTTCAGTTTTTTCCCCCTCTCTACTAGTTTGGAGATTTACATTCTGTTGCTATTATTCTAATAATTCCATCCCATTACTTCCTACATAGGTAATTACCTTTGATAACAGTCTAGATTGAGTACCTAAATCACTTCCAATGTGATACAGGCCCTTAGAAAACTTGAACTCCACTTACGCTGCTTCTGACGTCTTTTCTTACTGTAAGGCACTTTAAGTTTAGTTTTTTAAAGACAGAATGGACGTTTGTATGATTCCTTCTTCCATCCATGCTCACCCATATTACCCACGTACTCTTACTTTTCCTGCACTCCATTCTGTTCTGCGTTTTGTTCTTCTAAGATAATTTTCCCCCTGAAGTACATCCTTTAGAATTTCCATTAGTGCAGTCTGCCAGTGACAATCTCTCTTAGTTTTTCTTTGTCTAAAAATATCTTGCTATTACCCTCTCATTGAATATTTTCATGAAAGCTGCCACCCTCGGGGTCCCAGCTTAGTCTGGGAAGGGGGTCTTTCATAAGCATCCCCCATTTGGGCTTTGACTTCAGATGAGCCAAAGCTCCAGCATGAAGTGTCTGCAAGCCCTTAGCTACTTCAGTGGGAGAACAATGTCTATTTCAACAGGGCTGCTGGAGAGGCTTAAGTGAGATAATGGATGGAAAATTCCTGACAGAGAGGAGCAGAGCAACCAAAGATGGCTATTACTGGTTCACCCGAAAATTTTAGCTCCTAACCATCAACTTTTTAAAATTTTCTGTTTCTGCAATTGGAAACTAAAATGCGGCCCCCTTCCAGCCACCAGAGCCTGAATCTTTGCAAGTGGAAGTGTCCCGTGACACCGCAAAACAGGAAGCCAGAGACAGGGGATGCTCAGTGACCGACGGGAGCCAGCTTAGCCAATGCTACTCCCAGGTCTGCAGGGAGAGACCTTCTTTTTGTCCTCAGGACCCCACCCAGGCACCTGATACACAATCCACTTTTTTTTAATGTTTATTTATTTATTTGAGATTGAGAGAGAGAGGGAGGGAGACAGTCCCAAGCTGGCTCCACGCTGTCAGCATGCAGCCAGATGCAGGGCTCGATCCCACACACCGTGAGATCATGACCTGAACCGAAACCAAGAACTGGATGCTCAACCGACCAAGCCATCTGGGCGCCCCCAGACTCCATTTCTTTTCAGCAATTTTGTCAGAGCTCTGAGGTCTGGTCTTTGTCTTTTTGGATGCCACTGGGTCCGGCTGCAGATCACCTGACTTGGTGATAAAACCATTCAAATTCAGAAAAAGAATCTGCTCGGAGGCCAGGGTCAGGTGTCATCGTATCCTGGAGTCAAAGGAAAAGTGCAAAGTTAACCCGTCGGCTACTGCCAGCCTCACTGCTGAGTCTGAAAGGTGACCAGCCTGCCTTCTCCCCGCCCCGATCACCCCCATCCTCCACTATTCCATCCACAAGAGAGAGGCCACAGTCCTGAGATGGAAGGTGCTTCGCCTCCAGATCTGGATTCTATAAGAATCTATACTGGATTCTGTACTTTAAATACTAGGCTTGGAAAGAAAAAATAGAAAGGGAGGGAGCGGGGGGGGGGGGTGGCACCTGGGTGCCTCTCAGTCAGACTCTTGATTTCAGCTCAGGTCACGATCCCATGATTCGTGGGACCAACCCCCACATCGGGCTTTGCGTTGACAGTGAGCAGCCTGCTTGGGATTCTCTCTCCCCTCCTCAAAATAAATAAGTAGGGGCGCCTGGGAGGCTTAGTCGGTTAAGCGTCCGACTTTCGCTTAGGTCACGATCTCACAGTTCGTGGGTTCGAGCCCCGCGTCGGCCTCTGTGCTGACTGCCAGCTCAGAGCCTGGAGCTTGTTTCAGTCTGTGACTCCCTCTCTCTCTGACCCTCCCCTGCTCACGCTGTCTCTCTCTCTCCTAGAAATAAATAAAAACATTAAAAAAAAAAAAAAAAGAGGGAGAAATGGAAGAACTCCATCACCAGCAGAGAGCCGTGGCTTCGGGGGTCTGGTCGAGTTGAGTTGGGTCTTACCCCTCATACTTTTTCCTCGAATACAAAATGACGGAGAAAGATAGTACATGAAGGAAGGTTGGAGGGGGGTGGTTTTTAACCATACTGGACCACAGGCCCATCCAAGCATGTACAAAGCTCTGGAGTCTCAGAAATAGAGTCTGTATTCGTTTTCTGTGGCTGCCCTCACATATTACCAGCAAGTCAGGGGCTTAAAACGAGAGAAATGTATACTCCAGTAGTTCTGGAGAGCAGAACTTCAACATCAGCTTCTCTGGGCTCAATTCAAGGTATGGACAGGGCTGTGCTCTGTGCTTTGCCTCTTCCGGTTTCGGAGTGGAGGTGGGGGGAGAGCTGCCGGCATTCTTTTGCCTGTGGCCACGCCACTCCAATCCCGGCCTCAGTCATCACATCACCTTCCCCTCTGTTTGCCTCAGCCCTCCTTCTTCGTCTGTCTTACAAGGATGCGAGATTCCATTTAGGGTCCACTCAGATACTCCCGGAGAATCTCTCCACCGCGAGATCCTTAATCTAACCACACCTGCCAAGACTCTTACTTTACAAGATTAACATCTGCACGTTCCAGGGGTTGGGACTTGGTATATGCGGGTGGCCATTATTCAGCTTCCTACAGAGTCCAGAATCGTTGCATCTAATTCCAGGCGGACCGTGGACTCCAGGTGGGAGCGTCCTCTCTGGAGCTGCATTTCACCCAAGATGTGCTATAAACAGATACGTCGGAGGCAAGTCCATTTACTTATTCACCATCCTCCCTACAACCTCTCGGAATGAACTACAGCAGCGAGGTACAAAACTCACAGCCGGCTCTAGTCCTAGCGGGTCAGAATCCCCCGGAATCGGGGCCGGGAATCTGCATTTCTAACAAGTCTCCCCCCCCCCCCGCGCCCCCAGTGACTCTCATGCAGCCATACTTTAGTGACTACTGATTAAGAGCCCGGATGCCTGAGTACCTTCCCGGTGATGTGGACACGCTACGGCGTCCTTCGCAGTAAAAGAATTGTGTAAGCCTATTTGCTACTGCCTTTTTCTCTCTTCTCCCCATACAAAGGTGAGCTACTCTCTTTATTTGATTTCGATCCCATTCTGTGTTTAATGCACCCGGCCCCAGGGCGCGGGTTTGAACCGAGGGAGAAAAGAGGGAGGCGGAGGGGGGAGTCGCAAACTCTCCCTGCCCAGGCGCCGAGGCCGCCCCGGACGCCCGCCGGCCCTTCGGGCCAGCTCACCGCGCCCCCCTCGGGCGTGCATTTGCATCCGGCTCGAGACCGCGCGGGAGCCCGCCCCCGCGCCCCGCTGATTGGCCGCGCCGGCCCCCTCGTCACGCTCTTTTGTCTCAGTGGGCACAGGATAAAAGCGGCGGCGGCTGCCGTGGGAACCGCGCTGTCTGGGCTCAGCTACCCCTCGCTGGCGGAGGCGAGAGGGTGGGGGGCCGGTGAGGCGCAGCTCCTCGGGCAGCTCCGGGTCGCTTAGCGGCCGGGGACGTGCCCGTCCTTTTTCCCTGCAGGGCGGCGGAGACCGGAGGGCGGCATCCGCGGCTGGCAAGGCCAGAGGGTCCGCAGCCCACCGAGCCGAGCACAGGTAAAGGAAGGGGGCGCGATGGCTGGGCGGCGGAGAGAGGAGGGGCGCGGGTCCTGGGCGGCTCCCCGCTGGGGGAATCGAGCGCGGCGAGGCGGGGGAAGGAGTACGCCCGTAGCCTGGTTGCGCTGAGGGAGGAGGTGGGGTTGCGCTGGATGCTGCCTAATGGGTAGGATTTGCCTGGATTGAGCGGAGGGGCCTTTTCCGGGAGGGGGCGGGACCGAGGGTTGGGGTTGTGGAGGGGGGGAGGATCGCCAGCTGTCTGCCTTGAAGCCCCTCTGCATCTCCTCATCTCTTCTGGAGAGGGCTGTGTGGGTGTGCGTGTCCCTATCTCCGTGGCAGGCCGGCAACGCCGAAGCCGAACTTGAATTCTGTGCGGCTGATTGCAGAGCTGGTAGGCCGACGACTTCCCGGGAAGGTGTAAAGGGGCGGGGGTCGCTTTGGCTTGCACTCGGAAGAGAGGGTATTTTCCGCCTGCCAACCGCGGAGGCATAGGGGCGGCGGGGGTGGAGCGGGGAGGGAGGGAGCGGGATGAGCGAAGAGGCTGCTCCTGACCCTTCTCTTCCCCGCCCCCCGCGGCGGCGGCGCAGTCTTGACGCCCCGAGGTCTCGGATCGGCGACCCCCGAGGGACAGAGGTCGGCTCTTAGCCCGGAGACGAGCTTTCTCGCGGAGGCCACCGGTTGCAGAGCTGCAAGTGAAATAAAGGCGCGCGCGCGCTCGTTCCTGCCATCCTGTAAGAATCTGAGAAATCACGGCGGGGAGTGGGGGTGGGGAGGGGGGGGGGCTTTCAGAAGGGGGTGTGGTTGGGACCTGAGACCTAGAGGTTAACGAGATCTTATTTATTCCTACAAATCTGTGACCGCTGTGCTCTATTTTGAGAGGCCAATATCAGCTTCCGTACACGATTACACTTAGAATTAGAAGCAACAGTTGCCCTCCCTCCTGGGCGACTGGCGAGAGGGGATGGACGGGGCTGTCAAAAGCACCCCGCTAACACGGAGACGGCGGCTGGCTCGGTGAGGGTGTAATTGCCAGTCTCCTAGGAGATATTTTTAGGGCACCGGGCAAATAGAAAATGTACTGCAGGATATTCAGGAAGGGAGAGGAGACGACTGCAGCCAATTCCCTTATTAACTACTCCGCATTATTTTTTCTTTTTCACAGCCCCTACTGAGATAGGCGAGCCCCCCAGCACCCCTGCACCTTCGGCTTTTCCACAAAGCCTGAGCATCTCGCTCTGTTCGGACACCCCGATCGTCCTCAGTCATGGCTAGCATCATCGCGCGCCTGGGTAGTAGCCGGCGGCAGAACGCACCCTTGCCGCCCTGGGCCCATTCTATGCTGAGGTCCCTGGGGAGAAGTCTCGGCCCTTTAATGGCCAGCATGGCCGAGAGAAACATGAAGTTGTTCTCGGGGAGGGTGGTGCCAGCCCCGGGGGAAGAAACCTTTGAAAACTGGCTGATCCAAGTCAATGGGGCCCTGCCCGATTGGAATATGCCCGAGGAGGAAAAGCTCAAGCGCTTGCTGAAAACGCTGCGAGGCCCGGCCCGGGAGGTCATGCTTTTGCTGCAGGCGGCCAACCCCAACCTGACCGTGGCCGATTTCCTGCGCGCCATGAAATTGGTGTTTGGAGAATCCGAAAGCAGCGTGTCCGCTCACGGTAAATTTTTTAACACCCTGCAGGCGCAAGGGGAGAAAGCCTCCCTTTATGTGATCCGTTTAGAGGTGCAGCTCCAGAACGCTATTCATGCAGGGATCATAGCTCAGAAGGATGCCAACCAGACCCGCCTGCATCAGCTCCTTTTAGGGGCCGAGCTGAACGGGGACCTGCGCTTTAGGCTGAAACATCTTCTCAGGATGTATGCAAACGAGCAGGAGCGCCTCCCCAATTTCCTAGAGTTGATCAGGATGGTCAGGGAGGAAGAGGATTGGGATGACACTTTCCTGAAACAGAAACGGCCCAAAAGATGCGAGTCAGTGGTGGAGAGGGCCACCAGCCCGGTGGCATTTCAGGGCTCCCCGCCGATCGTGGTCGGCAGCCCCGACTGCAGCGTGATAGAGATAGATGATGCCCTCGATGACTCAGACGAGGATGTGATTCTGGTGGAGTCTCACGACCCTCCACTGTCATTCGTGGCCTCTCCTCTCCCCAGACGCAGGGCCAGACCGAGGGATCAAGTGCTAATCATTGATTCCCCTAGCAGTTCCCGGGCTCAGTCTCCTTCCACCAGTGGGGGCTCGGGCCATAAGAATGATGGTTCTAGGCACCTGCGTAGAACCAGGAAGCGAAAATACACAATCCGCTGCTCCTATTGCGGCGAGGAGGGCCACTCAAAGGAAACCTGTGATAATGAGAGCAATCGGGCCCAGGTGTTTGAGAATCTGATCATCACGCTGCAGGAGCTAACCCACACAGAGGAGGAGGGGCCCCGGGAGGCCCCTGGTGACCTTGATGATCCTTCTGAGCTGCAGTGACATGGTAGCCCCTAGCCTTAAAGGAACCCTGACCCATATTCCCAGTCCAGCCACCGGACAACTGGGGAGGGGCGCTTCTAATTGCATGAATCCACCAAGCAGCTTTCTTTCCCGAGTGGCGTAGAAAGGGTCTTGGATACCAGCACAGTGGAGGGAGACAGCCTGACTTCTGTCCTTGCTTCCCCCGCCCCCCTTCTCCGCTGCCTAAAGTGTCTGTTTTCTTTGTGTGCCCATTTCCTTGATGGCTCCGTTCTCTTTGTGAAAGTGGCATAATTCATCGTTAAATCTTCAAACAATAAAGAAACATACCAGAAAGTCAAGTACAAGTTACCCCAGACTCTCCACCCTGAGTTGTCAGCCCTTTGATGAATGTCCTTCTAGATACTTCCCTATACCTGTGTATCCAGATAGATATATGTATAGATAAAAGTGATCAAATATAAGTGCTGTTCTATAGTCTGTATTTTTTCACCAGACGATATATGTTGTGGGCTTCTATGTCAATAAATATATATCAGCATCGATTTTAAGGTGTCTGTCATTATTTTAGGGAAAGGAAAAAGGAGTAAGAGCAATATAGTAGAAAGCTATAAAGGGGTGGGGTTGTACCCCGAGGTGGGGTTTTTAATCAACCTCAATTTACAGATGGGGAAAAGGGAAGAAGAGATGGGCCGAAGCAGTCCCCAGAGGTAGATGGACGGAGCCCCTTACCACCATGGGCCTGCCCCTCGGGTCATACAGCCAGATTATGGTGCCCACTAGTTGACTGCCCCAGTGCTTTCTCCATTACTGGGTCCAAAGGAGTCCTAATGGAGGAGTCCGGTGCAGAGGTAATGGCCCCAAAATAGGGATTCCTGGGAGCACCATTCCTGGTCACTTTGAGGAGGAGCACTTCTTCCTCTGGGTGGATTCCTGGGATCGCTGTTGCCGCTGCTACTGTGGACATCCCGGTCACAACCTGGACTCTCTCCGGTGGCCTGACACCACCCTCCCCTCACTCCCCCCCGCTCCCCTGTGAAGGAAAGGAGAGAGCAGAACCCAGCACCCAGGGACTCAGTTCCTGATAGCACCAGGGCCACCCCCCATAAGCCCTGAAGTGATCTGCTGGAGGACAAGGGTGCAGGGGACTCTAAGCTCACCCCCTCCTCACCCCAAGAATTGAGACTAGCTGGGGAGGGAGGGATGAGAAGCCATCTAGCGGCCATGCATCTGAAGGAACCTGGCGATCAGAAAGCCGAGAGGCCCCACACAGCATTTTAGTGAGTGGAGGGCATTCATGGGGGAGGGAAAGAAGAGGCAGACCCTTCTGGAAGCTGCGCTGCTCCATCTCCTGATCTCATATTGGAGGGGGGTAAGAGAGGACGTGCGTGACCTCAGCCCCTGAGGGTCCCTGTGTTTTGCTTAGGTGCGTAGGTGCCTCCGTCCCTATTTCTGGGAGCGGGACAAGGCTGGGGTGGGGCACGATGGATCATATTTAGGGCCTCGGGGAATTGGTCGCACAGGAAATGGGGACTTAACGGAGCTGAGAGAGGAGCGTTTGCAGCAGTGGGAGATGGTGCGGGGGTGGGGGAGAGAGAAACACAAGGGAGAGCAGGCGGGAGATGCACTGAGATTGGATATCGACAGCCACTGGAAGCCTGGCAAGAATCGTAGATTCCAGGGGCCCCTACAGGACTCTGGGCTGTGCTGTCCTAGCAGTGGTGGGGCTTAGGGGCCCGGGGAGAGGTACTGACTGGGGTTTTAATTTGGCTAGCCATTGATGACAACTCAGTGGGGGTGACCAGCCCCGTGGGCTGCGGGGCTGCGGGCTGAGGCCCTGAGGAAGCAGGGGAAGCCAGGGCAGCCTCCCCCTGGGCTGTCATACTCAGAGCCTGCTTTGAAGTGCTTCTCTTTCCAGAAACAGCGCCTCAGCTCTTCCCAGGCTTCTCGCTCCTGCTCCATCAATGACCTCACAATCTGACCCGAAAACCCGCCACTCCAACCACCCACACTCCCTTTCCGGGGGTGGTGGTGGTGGTGGTGGTGGTGGTGAGGGTTGGAGGCTCAGCTTCCCCGGCTCTGCCATCACCCCTCCCCCACCCCACTCCTCTCGCCTCGAATTTGCCAGAAGCCTTAGCTTTCTTAACCCTCATGGCCAGAAGGAGGCGGGGAGAACGTCTCTGCGTTCTGCCTCGGATCCTTTGCCTGATAGCTGGCCAGGAGAGGGCCCCTCCTTGCATCCCTCTGGGATGCCATTGGGAAAGTCACCCCCCTCTCCCAAGCCGAAGAGGACCCCTTCCCAGCCCCAGGCAAGCGGCAGCTCCACTCAGGCCCCTCAAAACCACAGGGACCCCAACACTTCACAGTGCATGTAGATTTTAACCCTTAATTCCTTTCTCTGCCTCCCTAAATCTCCCCTTGGGAGGAATCTACCTCTGTCACCTGATCTTGATTAGAATATCAGTCCACCTCCCGATCTTTTTTTTTTTTTCCCCAACTTCACTCTATAAACACTTGTTGAATATTCGTCCAAAGACACAGTTTATGATGCCATAATTTCTTTCTGGCAGCAGGTAGAGCAGAAAGATGGAAAGAAAAATCAATAAATTCTGCCCATTTCGCTACCCTCCATTTCACTGGAGCTAGTTTGGGGGTCCGGTATAGACCTGTGCTTCAAAAACCTCTTCTGGGATCCATCTGGTTTTCCTCCCTTGCTCGCCCCTCCCCAAAGTTGAGATTGTCTAAATTTTTATTTCACCAACCTGATGTAACCTGACATTTCGTTTTGTTTGTTTGTTTCATATAAAGGAAAGCAAAGAAATACATATCTTCCCTAATTAGAAGACATGGAAATGACACCTCATTATTCTGATCAGCTTAATGGAGTTGGTCTAAAAAAGGCTTCTCTTAAAGCTACAGGCTCATTTGCATTGATATGGATGGAGCTCAAGAGTGTAACGCTAAGTGAAATAAGTCAGAGGAAGACAAATACCATATGATTTCACTCCTGTGTGGAATTTAAGAAAACAAAGGAGCAAAGGGGTGGGGGAGAGAGAGAGAGAGGCAAACCAAGAAACAGACTCAATTATAGGCAACAAACTGATCGTTACCAGAGGGGCTGGAAGGGGCGGGGACAGATGATGGGCTTTGAGGATGCACTTGTGATAAGCACCCGGGCGAGGCAGGGAAGTGTTGAATCACTCACTCTACTGTAAACCTGAAACTAATATTACACCGTATGTTAACGAACTGGGATTTAAAATAAAAACCCCCCCCCCAAAGCTATAGGCTAATTTTCTTCCTTTCTGCCGTTAGTCTCAGCGGTCGCCCGAGAGATGAAAATTGCTCTTTTGTCCTGGCAGCAGAAGCCGGCCTCTGAGCGCCCTTTTGCGTTAGCTCCCCCTCCTCGCATTCTCGCCCCTTTGGTTTCCATGACACCCTTCTCTCCCGGCTCCCCCCTCCCTAATCATGTTGTCGGTGCCACTTCTCAGTCTCCTTGGCCGAATCTTCTTCCTCTCCTTGATCCCTCCACCATAGTAATCAAAATAAAAATCCTTACAACCGTGATTTATTAAGCGCTTCTTGTTTGCCAGGCAGCCTGTACCACGAAGTCCTTTAAATGCATTAGTTCTTTTAATCCTCTCCATGGCCCCCTAAAGTGGGCATGGCCATTAGTGCACATTTCAGATGAGGAAACAAGCTGGGACATTAAGGAACTTGCCCAGGGTCCTGCGGCTTGTTAGTGGGGGAGCCAGAGGTCAGACTCCGGGGTGAGGGGCATATGCTTTTTTTTTTTTTTAAACATTTATTTTTGAGAGCGAGAGACACACACGCACAGAGTGTGAGCAGGGGAGGTGCAGAGAGAGAAGGGGACACAGGATCCGAAGCAGGCTCCAAGCTCTGAGCTGTCAGGACAGAGCCCAACGCGGGGCTCGAACCCATGGACTGTGAGAGCATGCCCTGAGCTGAAGTCACTGCTCAACCAACAGAGCCCCCGCGCACACTCCTCCCCCCCCCCCCGCGGCACCCCAGGGGCATATGCTTCTTAAAGGCGGCGCAGGCAAGTTATCCCAACACCACGTAGCTGTGATTGTCCGTGTGTGGCCTATGAGTAAACTGAGGTTCGGATATTCAGGAGAAGACGGCCTGCACCTGCCTTTACCAGGCGTGCGCTGCGTCACTGGCACAGGGCTGGGCTGTGTCAGGCCCTCCATGTACATTAGCTGCTCTTAGGCCGCTAGAATGCGTTCCTCTGCGACAGAAGGGAAGAGGGGGAAGAACTGAAAGGCTGTCCATGCCACGCAGTCGGGGCTGATTTAGTGTTAGTCGGGCGATGTGACAGTCTGGCCGCAGCAGCCACAGTCACACGGTGGAATCAGAAATGCCGGAGAGTTTAGTGATGACGACGACGACGACGATGACGATGTAGGGTAATAAGGGAACGCTTATTGAATGCTGACATGGACTTCTAGTTCTACGTGTTCGCAGGGAAGGACTTCTTTCCGCACCTGTCAGAGGCGTGCGATCCTTTGAGCTGGTTCGAGACCAGCCAAGCCTTCCTCTACCCAAGCCGCTCCCCTGAGCAGCCGATGGGGGTGAGGGGAGATCATCCCAGAGGGACACAGAGGCTCCCCAGTGTGCCGTGGGAAGGGGACGTGACTGAGGTCTGAGGAGCCCTTTACAATCCAGGGACCCCGAACTCCTGTCACTACCAAGGATCTCAGGGGCAGTGTAAGGAGCAGCAGAAAGAGCAGGGCTGGGTCTCAGGCCTCGCGTTGACTGGAGGTAGGGATCTAGCTGCCCCTTCCCACCTCAGACCAGAACTCACCATTTCTTTTTTTTTTAATTAAAGATTTTTAAAAATTCTTTTATTTTTGAGATAGAGAAAGACAAAGCACAAGTGGGGGAGGGGCAGAGAGAGAGGGAGACACAGAATGTGAAGCAGGCTCCAGGCTCTGAGCTGTCAGCACAGAGCCCGATGTGGGGCTTGAACCCACAAACGTGAGATCACGACCTGAGCCGAAGTCAGACACTTAGCCGACTGAGCCACCCAGGCGCCCCCAGAACTCACCACTTCTTGCCTATGGTCTCTTGCAACCACGCCTTCAGGTAGGTACTGTGTTCACCGCCCCTGTTTTACAGACCAGAACATCGTGGCACACCCGGTTATGGCCACTTGCCTAAGATCAGACAGCTAGTAAGGTTTGGAGCCGGAATGGAATTGATTTGCCCCTCTCCAGAGAAGTCTTTCTGAAGCTGGAAGAGTTGTTCCTAAGGTGATGGGTACGAATGATCTGATCATTCTATTGGCTGCATCCTGAGTTTGGATTTTTCCATTTCTTTTCTTTCTTTCTTCCTTTCTTCCTTTCTTCCTTTCTTCCTTCCTTCCTTTCTTTCTTTCTTTCTTTCTTTCTTTCTTTCTTTCTTTCTTTCTTTCTCTTTCNCTTCCTTTCTTTCTTTCTTTCTTTCTTTCTTTCTTTCTTTCTCTTTCCTTCTTTCCTTCCTTCCTTCTTTTTTCTTTCTTTCCTTCCTCCTTCTTTTCTTTC